AAAAAAAAAAAAAAAGTTCCCAGAAAAATCTGAAAAACATATATGTTATGTAAAATAATAATACAAGCAACTTTTGCCTAAGAGTCATGTTCAAATTCAAAGACAATCATGAGTTAAAAATTAAAAATCGAAAAATAATTTTTATTTTTATTTTTATTTTTTACGAAAAGAAAATATGTTCGCCCGAACATGTTCGCGAGCTGTTCGCGAGAACGCTCGAACACGTTCGCGCGAACATGAAAGGGCGCGAACACGTTCGCCGTTCTACGCAGGTTTATACGAAGCTGCACTGAAATTAGACTGTTGTATTCAGGATTCGTGGTTGTTCCATGCCAGAACGACGCTGGCCGGAGTCGAGGTGATGCCCTGTAACTTGCCGAAGGTGAGGGCATGAGGCCTTGTAGAGAGATCTAGGGATGCTATGCGGGGGCATCCTAAGGGACAGTTGGGGATTGCTGACACAGGACGACACTGGTCGGAGCTGGAGTGAGTCGCGTTGCTCTATAACCTAGCGGATAGGGGGCGTGAGGCCTCGATGGGTTTGTCAGAGAATAAGTCAGTTTTGGTGAGCTTTCTTATGATCTGCTATATTCGTATTTTTCTCATCATCTACCTCGATTTTCAGCAATTTGTTTATGATCTTGGAGGATACTCTCAAGCCGAAACAGGGTAATGGCCCCGGTACTTCAATTTCCTCATAAATCTTTTCTACATGTCTTCATATGGGACGCTGGGCGCGATTCCCAGCACGTGTTGCTCCCCACAAATAGATTGGAGCATGACTTCTAAAAAAAAAAAAAAAAAAAAAAAAAAGGTAGTTGATGTCGTCACTTCGTCGACTGCAAAAGCATGTCCAAATACCCTTGTAAGGGTATTTGGTCCGACATCGTCCACCATGATAGGTGGAAAGTGCTCATAAGGGTATCCGACGAAGCGCTCGAACAGTCTGCGATGACGATGCAACAAGGAGACATGGTAAACACCGTGTACGCGAACCTGTCGAAGGTAATCAAGTAGCTTCACACGAAAGCTGACTGGACTAGCAGCAGTATCAGAATCGGCGGCCTGAAGGATGCGACATAGATCGAAGAAGCAACGCCTGAACTTACAAAGCGTATCCGCTTCGAGCTGCAAGTGGTGTGCGTCGACGAGCAAATCGTCACCGACTTTGAATGGATGATCCATTCGTGATGGGTTCACTCGTGCGGTCATGCCAGTCTGGGAGTCGGTTAGACTCTTGTGTGCACGCTTCATAATCGCCGCCATGTGGCTGATCCAGTCGCCAAGCGCAGGACAACAAGTGTCTGGGTGCAACCGCTACGGTCATAGGAAATCCTCGGGTACACGAGAGTGGTAGCCAAGGTCGCAATAAAATAGCAACATCCTCGTGGCTGGCGAAACGGCGTGGTTGTACGCAATCTTCACGTGAGCTAAGTGTAAGTCTCACTGTTGGTCACCCCGAATAGACTTTCGGAGGATATTACCGAGAGTTTTATTGGGGCCCTCAGTCTGACCATTCGTCTGAGGGTCGTAGGACGATGAGAAGCGGAGCTGGGATCCATGCATCTTGTGTATGTGTCGCCAGAATGTGCTGGTAAAACGCGGGTCACGGTCGGAGATGATGCTCTGAGGTCAGTCGTGATCTCTCACGACTCGGTCGAAAACGATGTTGGCGACCTCACGAGCGCTAATGCGATAGCGGCACAGGACAAAACGTGCATGCTTCGTGAAGCGATCGACAACAACCAAGATAGCATCATGACAGAGCTCAGTGGGTGGAAGAAGGGGACCAACGAAATCCATCGAGATGGATTGCCAACGACCCTTAGGTATGGGTAGGGGTTGAAAACTTGAAGTAACCCATACAAAAGGTGGTTCGCAATGTTCACCTCCTAACAGGTAAGACACTCCTAGATGTAGGCTTTGACAAAGTCCTTGGACTTCGGTCAGACGTATAGGCGACAAACACGAATCAACGTCTTATGAAAGCCCATATGACCGACAGCTGCCTGGTCATGGAACTCTACTACGGCCTGGACGAGGAGTTGTCCGGTGGAGGGAACGCAGATATGTGGTTCTAACTGACCAGATTTGTCATGCCAGTACACGAGACCGTTCTCACCAAGAACGTATGAAGGAACGGTCTTGCCACTCCGCAGTGTCGCATGGATGACGCGATAATCCGGACAGTGGCGGTACTCAGTGTGATATGCGTCGATCACCGACTGATCAACAGTGGTGATGAAGATGACAACAAAATGAATGGGTTCCTAATTGTGATCCAGACGGCGGGACAAGACATCGACGACGCGGTTAGCTTCACCCTTCATGGGCTGAGTAGTGAAATTGAACTCGGATAAATCACACCACTAGTGTCTCTGTTGAGGGGAAAGCTTGGGCTTTTTTGAGGAAAGTCTGGACGACTGAGTTGTCTGTGCACACCGTGAACGGCGCCCCCGGCAGGTAATGACACCAATGTCGGGTAACATAAACTACTGCGAGAACCTCATGTTCATCAGCAGTGTAGTTTATCTCGGGCGGCAGTAGCTGACAGAAGTAGAAAACGATCGGGCAATCCTCCACACGAGCCTCGATAGTCCCATCCTCCGCGATGGTCGGGGAGTAAGTAGCAGGAGGACTGTCAGAAGAGGGAAGTGGTGGGAGGATAGGCGTCAGTCGAGAAGCAGTGTCAGCAGGAAGGGGAGGGGGGGGGGGGGGGGGAGAAACATGGGAATAAGGTGAATCAGGAGAAGAGGGAAACACCAAAAAAAGTACGACTCCTACTGCAAATTTGACTCATCATTTGTGACGATGAAGGGACAGTCAAAATCAGGGAGGCGAAGAGCCAACGCATAAGTCACCGTCTTCTTAAGGGCGCAAAAACGTCCGCGCAGAAGGGTGTCCAAAACCACGACGGGTTCTTTCGGAGGAGGGTGGGGGTAAGGACATAGGAATACCTAGAGTATCCCTGAATGAAATTATTATAATAGCTAGTGACGCATAGGAAACTGTGAAGCTGCTTGGAGGATGTGGGGACGGACCCCTCGGCAATAGCAATGATCTTCACGTCCATGCGGAGTCCTTGGTCAGACACATGGTGTCTTAGGAAGTTCACTTTGTGTTGGGCAAAGCGACACTTACTAAGCTTGGCGTAGAAGGCATGCTTGCATAAGCGCTGTAGGACATCGCAGAGGTGTTTGAGATGGTCTTCGAAGATGTCCCTGAAGATATCGTTCATCGTCATTCGGTGAGGTCTAATGGCATCACCGTGAGCTCGTAGTGGCCGAAGCGCGACCGAAAGACGGTCTTCGATTGATCCTCTGTGGCAACGCGGATCCGCTACGAAGATCGATCTTCGTGAAAAAGCGGTTGCCTACCATACGGTCAAATAGCTCATCTGTGCGAGGCATGGGATAGTTGTTCTTAACCGTGTAACGGTTAAGGCCGCGGTAGTTAATGCAGAGATGAAGAGTTTCGTCGGCTTTGCGAGCAAAGAGGACGGGTGCACTCCAAGGGGAGTTACTGGGTTTAATGAAACCCAGTTCAAGGAGCTCATGAAGCTGACGCTTGAGTTTCATCGCCTCTGGAATCCAGTCGGTAGGGTGCCTGATAGTGGACACGATAATCAGACACGAGTAAGATAGAATGCTTAACACCTCGCATCGGAGGGATCCGGTTGTATGAGAAATACGGGGGGGAAACGTCGCGGTTCTCTCGAACCAAATCGCGAACAGTGAGCTCTAAGTCGGTCACGAACCATATGAGTTCCTCAACGTCTGTGTCGGCATGAGATGTATGGGTGGACTCGGCAGTGAACGGCGTAGGGACCTGGGATGTCGAGGGGGTATCCGCAGGCTGAGGAGTGGATGTAGAGATGAGAGCCGCGAAGATGGCGGAAGGGCCAGGAGGATCTGATTCTAGTGAGATGAGCTCAACCTTGGGACATAATGAATCATAGCGAAGAAGATTCATGACGTTCACCAACTAGAACGTGACGTCCTCCTCAGGCTGTCGTATGAAGTGAGAAAACTGACGAGAAGAAGTGAAGGCGATATCTGGGTGGGACCCAGAGGAACGAGGGTCCTGTGAGGTAGGTCGGGAGGGGTATCGCCCTTGGTTCCAATGAAGGGGACTCCGCCCATTCGGCCTCTGTGCCACGAAACTGTCGAGACCAGGGAATGCCAAGGATAAAGTTGTACCCAGTCTCCAGCACGTCGAAGTATGGGGAGGAATGATAGCGCCATGGCGCCTGGGTACTATCCGGTGGCTGGAGGGTGAGGGAAAAGTGGAGGTCGAGGACCGTCTGATCGAAAAAGCACTGCGTTTTGTTATCTACGAGGGTAACAGAGATAGGAGAATGAGACCCGGAGGTAGCTAGACGAGCTTCATCAACCACTCGAAGGTGAACAAAGTCTCTCTGCGAGCCAGAGTCTCATAAAGCGCGGTACACCCTCATAGATGTCCCCAAGCGGATCAGAATGATGGGGAGGGTGCGATCAGGGTCAGAGAGCACAGTGAGAAGACAACGCATGACATTTACGTGTCTTGTGAGTTGCTCCCGACGAGCCTGAAGAATGCTCAAGTCCAGGAGAGACGACACATCGTGATCGCGAGCCGCCAACTGAGCACTGCAACAAGTTGTGTGAATGGCGCAACGCGTCGGAAGTCTCGAAGGGGAAGGACTAGATGCAGTGGTTTGTTGTGGGGTAGACGGTGGGGCAGACGTAATTGTGGCTGTCATGTCCTGAGGATCCTCTGGTGGGTAGTCAAAGGGGCAAAACGCGACTTGGTGGTCGGGAAGCTGGCTACGTGAGAGGCCTCAGCGGTACATTGCACCGTGGCTAGCTGGATGGGGCTGCCTGGGCGGGGCCGAGGGGGGACTGAGATCGACGCTGACAAGAAATGTCAGCATAATGTCGATCAAGGCCGGCATGGTATGGACATCGGGGAGGTGTGTCCATCATGGTGGTAACGAAGACAATCGCAAGGGGCCTCAAGGGCGGCTCGCTCCTCATAGGATAAAGCTCCTCGAGGAGGGACGAAACCTTGAGGGAGGTCTATCTGAGGGACCGCGAACGTGCGAGCGCCAGCCTAAGCAACCCGACTGCACGCACGACCCATGGTGGACATGGCCATCTGCAAGCGCTCGGTCACCAGGCAGTGTCATCATCCAAGCGTTATTGGATAACGTCTCAAAGCTCGATGTCCTTAGGGGCGTCCCCAAAGGTAGGGTCGAGCTCCGTTGAGGCGTCCTCGTCCTACTCAAGAGAACTGTAGCGCCGGGAGAATGGCGCTGCAGGTCAAGCTGGTCATCGAAAGCGGCTGGTGAAAGAGGATCAACCGCAAGTAGCACCTCATGACAGGGTGGCGGTGGCAGTGGATTCGATCCCCACCAATCTGGGTAGGGATGTTTGGTGGGAGGGAACCATACATTTCCCTCCTTCTTTCGTTTATTTTTTTTTTAAATCTATGGAAATTACGAATAGGTTTTCTGCGTTGGATTGGATCCCCACTAATCCGATCGAGAGAGAGAGAGAGAGAGAGAGAGAGAGAGAGAGAGAGAGGGAGAGAGAGAGTGAGAATTGGTGGTTTTTTTTCTGTGTGTGTGTGTGTGTGTGTGTGTGTGTGTGTGTGTGTGTGTGCGTGTGTGTGT